TATTTTCTATTTTCGCAAAAAAATTTCGTTTTTAGCTTCTTATATAAACTCGTAGCCTTTTGTTTTATTTTGGACATTTTTAATAAGCCTTTGGTTTTCTTAATGCCACGGTTCTTTCCAAAGGTAGAATTTTATGTGAACCGGGTGGCTCTTCCCAATGATAGATGGCGTGACAACCTTCTTAAGGGTTTGAGTCCGTTTTTGTTTTTGTTTTTGGTAGTTGTAGTTAAGGGTACCTCAAGCAAAGCTTCACTTGGGCCTAGCACATTTGCCTTTGATCCCATGGTCAAACACAAGTGGTTGTGTTTAGGATGGTGAAAGTAGTGACCTTGAGACTCTTGTGTTGACCAAACAAACATCATGTGGTCTTTCGGGACTATTGTGTGCTCAATCGTGTCTAAGGTTGTTGTGGACCGTTGACTCTAAGTCTTAAGCAATCCTTGAGTGTGTGTGGTGAGAAATCGAATTTTGAGTCCAAGTCTCGAGCCAATGGTCTAGAACTTGCCCTGAATGTTTGTTGAGGCGAAATTTGAGTGAAATTAGACTTGAGAAGCGATTATAGGCTCTCCTTGATCCAAAAATAATTGAACAAATTCCATAGCCTACCAATGAGATAATCCCTAGCTAACCCTTTTGAGCCTTAAACCTTTTTCTTTCAAGAACCAATGTTACAAACCTATACCCGTTCTAAATTCTACCCTCTCTTGGCACCCAAATCTTCCCTTGAGTGATGGCAAAGTCTAAGTTTGGGGGGAGATACAAGAAAGGAAACAAAGTGGTAAAAGGTACAAAAGCAAAAGAAAAAGAAGGCAGTGAAAAAGAAAGAAAAGAAAAAGACAAAAAGAAAGCCCAATGTGAACAAGAATAAAAAGGGATTCAAGGAAAAACAAAAGTGAAAAAGGTGTGGAAAAAGTAGAAAAAGGAGAAATGTTTTGAATTGCATAAGAAAGAGTGACAATGCGTCTCTCTAACCCCTTGAAAGGAAGTGAAATACTCAAAAGAGTCAAAAGAATTATACCAAAATGAATCAAAAGAAGTGCTTTAGGGAAGATGGAACCCATATAGACCAACAACTTTTCCTACCCTCAACCAAAAGCCTTCACATTGACTCCACAAAAGCCCTATATGATCTTGAGTCGGATGACGCTCGCATTAGTGGATACTTACATGAGGGTCAAGCATATGGTACTTAGAGCCGGACTTGTGACCTTTCCTTGAGAAAGACGAGTGAATTCCCATTAACCTCGGTTTGTGTACTTGTACTCTAAAAGGTGAGGTTTGCTTAGGGAGAGTTGAGGATGTATGAGTTTGGGTTCCACAGCGACCAAGGTAATTGAGAGAGTTCTTTGATGCAATGAGTCAATTCTTGATGCTCTTGTGTCACTCTTGATCCATAGTTTTCAAGGTTTAAATGTTGTTAATGATCTATTTGTATTGAGGGCAATTGTTAGTCCCAATTGATGCTTGTTGAGGTTACTTTAGGTAAGCTAGAATTACTTGGATTTTCCTTTAAGGGGTGGGTCTTACTTTGTTTGCTTGAGGACAAGCAAAGGTTTAAGTTTGGGGGAGTTGATAAGTTAGGATTTTAACATGTTTTATGCCCCTACTTGCCTATGCTTTGATCATATATTTGTACAAAATAGTCCCAAAAGGCTCACAGGTTGTGCTTGTTTGCAGGTTTGATCGACAAGGCGACGAAATGTCAAAGATCGGCTCAAAAAGGAGTGAAACTTGTTCAAGTATCAAAGACCAAGAAATCTAAGGGAAGAAGGCCTAGTGCGGACCGCGCAAATTGGTATGCGGCCGCACTAGAAGATTTAGAGAGCTGGCAAACTGGGCTCAAGGGCAATGCGGCCGCGGTCCATATCTCGCGGTCCGCGGTCAGGACTCTGTGGCCGCACTACTCTTTTGTGCGGTCCGCGGTCAAGAGATTCAGAGGACTACAATTTTGCCAAGACAATGCCATGCGGTCCGCGGTCGTTATTGTGCGGACCGCGCCAACTCCCTCCGCGGCCGCGGTCCATTTTACGCGGTCCGCGGAGCCCAACTTCAGAGAGCTAAAGTTTTGAATTTCAAGAGCCTTGTGCGGCCGAGGTCCATTTTGCGCGGCCCGCACTGACCCCGCAGGGGTATTTTTGTCCTATTTTTTTAGCCTAGTATAAATAGGTTATTTTACCATTTTTTGGTCATCTGTTATCTTGAGAACACAGTTGCGCTTGCGAGAACAACTTTTGTAGCCATTTTTGTCATCTTAGCTTCAAATTAACGATAGATTCTTGCAATTTAATTTAGTATTTAGTTATTATGTCTTGTTCCTCATCTATTTCTTCAGTTTCTCTTCTAAGCATGTGTAGCTAAACCCTTTATCTAGGGTTGTGGTTCAACCCTAGTGTGGGTAATTGATGGGTGTTGCCATCTAGGATTAGATTGACTATGGGTGTTTGCTATTTGGGTTGATTTTATGTTTTAATTTAGAATTGGTGGTTGCAAACACTGATTCAATCTTGGTGGGTTTAACTTTTCTTGGGAAAGAGAGTCTATGACCCCAAAATTAACCCAACAAGGAATTGGGATGGACTCATGAGAAATGATAGTCCCAATTAACGAGTTAAATCTCGAGAGAGTAATCACCCTACTTGAACCCTAGTTGCTTGTCCTAATCTGCCTACCCATTTGGTCTCGAGAGAGTCAATTGGGCAAAATCACTCTCTCTACCGAGAGGTGTGAGAGTGGGTAAAATTGTGCAACGGTTATAGCATGTGCCCCAATCATGTCAATCGAACCTTAGTAACATCTACCCGTCAATTAGCCACCTAGGTGATGTCACGACCCTAGTGCCTTCTTCCCATTAGATACAACTTTAGCAATTATCTCGTAGCATAATCTAGTTTCAATTAGTAGTTTGATAATAGTAGTTTATAATTGAAAAAATCCAAAAATGTTAGAAGTGACATTTAGAACAATTACACGACTCTAGTCTAGATAGATACCCAGCTCCAATTTCTAGCTCTCTGAGGAATTCGATCCCGACCCTCATATCGGATAAAAGCTATTGCGACCCTCTCTTCCTACTTTATAGTAGTGCAGAGTTGGCAGCGATCAGTATGCGAACGCGAAGGGGCTGGGTAACTGGCCTTCGCGAACGCGAGCGACAGGCCGCGAACACGAAGAAGGGCGGACCTGGGCTGGGCTGGGCAGAATGTTTAAAATCGGGATTGAGTTCATTTTACCCATTTTTCTCTTGGCTTGGGCGATTTTTGGAGCTTTTGAAGAGGGGGTTCCGTCATTCATCATGAGGTAAGTAATTTATGCTAGTTTTGAGTTAAATACAAGGTTTATATGTGGATTTAAACATGGAAATTTGTAAAAAACTTGGGGTTTGAGGGAAAACCTAGAAAATTAGTGTTCTTGGATTTTGACCATGATTTTTGGTATGGAATTAGGAGAAAATCACATATTTGAGTTCGTGAGTTTATGGGTAAACTTTGTCTTCGAAAAATCTAGGAATCCGGGCACGTGGGCCCGAGGGCATTTTTGTCAACTTTCCGATCGGGGTTAGAAATTGTTATAAATTGAATTAATATGGGAAGTTTATCATATATTAATGGATTTTCATAATCATTGGCTAGTTTTGGAGCGTTGTGCATCAATTTGAGTCTTCGGAAGGGCGTGGAATGCCGGTTATGGATCTTCGGAGCGAGGTGAGTCTCCTTTCTAACCTTGTAAGAGGGAATTGTCCCCATAGGTGAGTTAATTGGTTATGTGCTTCTATTTGTGGGGGCTACGCACGCACGAGGTGACGAGAGTCCGTGCGTAGCTACTATTATGCTATTGTCCGGGTAGTCTAGGACCCAAAAGCGTGCTATACTTAGATTAATTATAAACTTATTGACAGCTCGAATTGCTTAAATCACATCGAATTAGTAAATGAATTTCAAAAAAGGATTAAACTTATTTTTCTTAAATTGTTAAAAGATAAGTGGCTTTTATTTGGATAAATGTTCCCCGATAAATTCTTAATTGGCTATATGAGCATGTATTTCTATGTGTACCTGCGTCGCATGTATGATTCGCGAGCAGGGTGATTGTTATTTTATGTTGACCGCGTCGCATGGATAGTTCACGAGCGGGGTAATAGATGCATCTATGGTTCGCGCCGTTCGACCCTCGGCAGTGCACAGTTTATTTTCTGTTGGATCGGGCTGTACGCCTCGGCATGATTTGCGCATGCTTGTATTGTTTGCCTTGAGATTTATTGACATTGATAATTGCTCTCCCCGACTCGAAATAATTGAAAACTAATAGATCATGAATCCGGAGATTTTTTAATATAAAAAGGAACTTTCATCTGTTCGTCATTTACTTGAAATTCGGTCACTCTTAATAAATCCCTTATTATTCGCATTAATAATATATTATTATTGGACCTTTAGTAAGTGTCAAAGTCGACCATCTCGTCTCTACTTCTTCGAGATTAGACGGGATACTCATTGAGTACACGTTATTTTCGTACTCATACTACACTTCTGTGCATTTTTGTTGCACAGGCATATGCACCTCTAGTGGCCTAGTGGGCGTAGCAGCATGGTTGACACGAAGACTAGGTGAGCTGTATTTTCTCGAGGCGACCCGCAGCTAGTATAGTCTCTTTCAGGATTTTATTTATTTTCTGTCCAATTGTATTCCGGACAGTTGTGGTACTTTATTCTGTTTTCCTTAGAAATTGCTCATGCACTTGTGACACCGGGTTCTGGGGCGATTTTGAAGTATTTTGTATTAATTGCTTATTATTTAATTTGAATTGAAGCGATTATCTTTTTATTTATAAAAAAAGAGAAAAATTATAGATTTCAAGAGTATTAAAACGAGAATTTAATTAAGTAATTTGGTTGGCTTGCCTGACGGTGTTGTCCGGCGCCATCACGACCCTTAGTGGATTTTGGGTCGTGACAAAGACCCTCGAGACAAAAAAAACATAGAATGAAAACCGTCATGCCAGAATAAGAGAACAGCCGGGACTCTTTTCCGTCACCTCGATTCTGCTTTCTCTGCTTGCCTCTGACTGAATTATTCTTAGGGTTCTGTTCTACTTCTTGCCAAGGTATCCTTAATTTTCTGAATTTGTATTTGTTAGGTAGTAGAGAAATTTTTAGATTATTAACTACTACTGTATCTGTTCATTTTTCCTGTTCTCCTTCTCGTCAAAGTATGGTTCAGCCGAATCAATATATTCTTGTAGTAGATAATTTTTAGGATTATTAACTGGTATGGTGTCTTTTCCAATGCTCCCCATTTGGAGATTTTCTATTTTTCTAATTCTTCAACATATTTTGACTTGTACAGATCTGAAGCTGATTTTAAGGAGTTTTAACTACTATCGAAGAATTGTACGGCAGTAGCCTAAATAGAGTAGAATTATGCTTTTTTGGATTTTGAAATGGACAATTCACCCCTGTACTTATGCTCTTTTGTGAAAAGGGAGATGGTGAGCATTAACCTGCAAAATAGACACCACACAAATTGTTCTTCTTCCTCAATTTAAAGGCACGCTCCTAGAGTTACTGCTTAGATCTGAACAAAAATAGACATTGAACATAAGGTGAAATACCCTTTAGTAAAATGGTGTACAGGGCAAATTGTGGTGGGTTGAAGAGGTAAAACACATGTACAACAATAAAAGCAATAATACACTGTTAACCATGGAGCTACACATCCCTAGTGCACAAAAGCATGTATCCCCCTACTAATTAAAGACACAATGAAATAGAAGAAAAAATACTTTATACAATAGATTAGAAAAACTAAGCAAAGATGTGCAGTTTCTTACACTTCTATGAGCATGAGATTCCATCATTATTGTAAGAAAAGACATTACCTAATTTATTTATCTAAAGAGATAACAATAGTTAGGGAATCACAGTAAAATAATTTTTATTTAATACTTGCTGATTTTGATAATGTATCTTACTCATGTGACTATTTTGAATTATGGATTTCAACATTATATATATATATATATATGCTGTGTGTGTGCGTGCAAACTCATGCATATACCACTATAATTTAGAAGAGCAGTACATTGATGGAAATATTAGACAATGCTCTAAAAAAAAAAAGTGACAGTACCAACACATCATATGAGTTAGGACTATTCTTAGATTTCATCTATTACAAGTACTTCAAATATTCTTATTTTCCCTTTTAATCTTCTAATCTAGAAATAGAATTGGAGCATTGACTGATTGAGAGATTTCGTAACTTTCGTTTCTTCTTAACACTTTTGATTGATTGTTAATTGTATGGTTTAGTTTAATGTACTGTTAATTTGATAAACTGAAACAGCCACTGCTTAATGTATTTTCTAGTATTTTTGTGACTCTTTGCAAATCTAAATTGTACAAATATAGTTCCTAGATCTGATAGTATATGCTAGCTATTGGTTTTATAATTCCCTAATTTTGGTGCTTGAATCTAGCTACTAGTGGAGTTCCTACATCTGATAGATTACTATGGAGCTCCTCAGTATCAGAATTTCTCGGCCCATCTCCAAGGTATCATATGGTTTCAATCTATATTCTTCTTTATTTTTTTCTTTATATTGTTATAAGTTATTACTTGTAGGTGATGACAGTTGGAAGAAGAACTTTTTTATTCTAGGTAAAGAAAGGATTAGCTGTTTCAAAAAGTCAATTCAGAGTAGAATAGGGAAGTTGATAACATGTAAAACTCCCTCAGATCAATTGTATGGCTTTTGAAAGAAGATGAACAAAATACTCAATTTAAATAAAAAGAAAAGAGTTTTCATATAGGAGAAACTAGAGCTAAAACTATGATATTAAATTAGGAATGCAACTTTTGCATTTCTTTTAATATTTGAGCTTGAATATTTTTTTTATTTTAAAAACATAGCTTTCACCTCCCATGGTGTTGGGGAGTTTGGCATGGATCCCTACCTCGTATATAAGCACGACAAAAAAGGATTACAGTGGAGAGGGATATAAAATCAAAGCCTTCATGAGAATACCAAAGTACATAGCTACTTATAACATAGAATAAAAGTAAATCAGGTTCATAAGACGATCCCAAGAAAATCCAGAGAACCTCAATGTACCTAGAGCTAAATTTGAGCTTGAATATGCAATTTTAATTTTAGTAAATATGTCATGGTATTTTTAGAACTTTCACTGTATTGCTTCTGGAGCTTTTACTTTATATAGAAATCCTGAAACTTAGCAGTTTCAAGTTGGTTGTTGCCGCTGCTTTAAGTGGGTTATGCTTTTATCAGTAACAACAGTAATTTTGGTTTCGTCCTGGTTCTATAAAGTTCACGTAAGTACTTGAGATTTCTCTCATACTTTGTCATCCTTTTTCTAATCAGATATATTATTAGTTGTCTATTCTCCATAATTGTGAGTATTGTTGGCTTTGCATCAGTCTTCCGTACGAGTTCTGCATATTGAGTGCGTATATTGGAAATGTCTGGACGAGTCATATGACATACTTGATGCTCTTTGGTCTGCTATTATTTTGCTTGGTTTTGTCAATAGAAGCTTTTTCTAGATTGGTTTGTTTGATATATTATGTTTATTTTGCTATTGTTTGGTGTAATATTATGATGTCAGGTAGTATTGCTTTTTTGTAATATTATAGCTTGTTACATATAATAGATTTAGTGATATTTTATTGTTGAATTTAATGATGTTAGTGTAAGAAGCTCTAACATTTCATAATGCTATAAAATATATTTTTACATCTTTATTTTATATTCTACAGTGTTAGCAACCTAACCATCTTAAGTACTCATTTATGTCCTAAACAAAACTAGCTAGTAGTAGTTTGCTTTCTAAACTAACATGAATTTGTTCTTTGAACAGATCAAGAATTTGAAGATATGAAGAATCATCTTTGAGACAATGTAGAGTGAGTTGAAGTTTAAAGAACAAGTTGAAGTAGAAGAAGAATCTACATTATTTTGCTAGCAGTTGTTTAAAGATGTTATCATTTGTACATGCAACAATTTCGTTTTTTTTTTCTCTAGGAGTAGGAAAAGAATAATATCATACAATTAGGATACGTATACTTTTTGTAATGCGACTCTTTAGTTCTTTGTAATTAAAGAATTATGTTTTATATGAGAATTGACTATTTTGTACATTTTCCTAAGTCTGTATACATGTGAAAGCATAACTACAATTAACAGAAGAAATTCTAATCTCTAAAAGCACTTAAAAACGACCGAAGTAGTTGCCGTTGTTGAAGTTTTTTATGACCAAATGACAAATAGCGAAGGGAATTTCTAGTCCCTAGAAGGAGATATAATGACCGGATTTGTTGTTGTCGCTAAAGGGTTTTTAACGACCGGAGTGGGATCCGGTCGTGTACTTTTAACGATGGGGCTTTTAACGACCGGCGACGACCGGATTTGAACTTTTAGCGACCAAATTTTCCCTCGTTAAAGGCCCGTTTTCTTGTAGTGTAACCCATACAGATTCAAGACCTAAAATTCAAGACCCATCAAATACCAACACTAGGGTTGGGTTACAACCCTAGCTATGGGTTTAACTACTCATGGAAATAGCAGAAATCAAAGATGAAATAAGGATAAAATTTATAATACTAGATTAAAAGATAAAAATCTAATGTTGGAAGATAATTATAGTACAAAATTGCCCAAAATAGAATTTTCAGCCGTCTCACGTGCTCAGCAAAAATATAACTTAACCTAAAATGTCAAAAAGATCTATTTATACTAAGCTAAAATTTCCGGACAAAAATGCCCCTGCAGAGGTTTTGCGGCCACGTAATTCTCACCGTGACCGCACTCTTGCTTTTGCGGCCACGTAAATATGACCGCGGCCACATTTTTAACTTCTGGATCTGGGATGAGCATTGTTTCGCAAAGCGCGTAATATGCATCGCGGTCGCGTGGTGGATTTCGCTGCCGCATAATTCATACCGCGGAGAGCACTCCTTGTTTTTGCTTGAAATGTGAACTCTCTGAACCTCAGCAACCGCAGTCCGCATAATTTCAATCGCGGCCGCACTTTTCTAGCGCGAACCTCGCCCAACATTTGGCCTGAATATGCACTCTCTGATTCTACCTTTCGCGGACCGCGTATTTGTGGCCGCGGTCGCGCAATATTTGTGCGGTCCACGTTTCAGGTCTCCTGGCCAGTCTTGGTTTTTCTTTCAATTTTGACTCCTTTATGAGTTGATTATGCCTCCTTTGGCACATTTTGATCAATTCCAGCAAGATGAGTTTCCGGAAATACCTTTACGCATTTTAGGCCCAAAACGCAAGTAAAAGAAAGCAAATAATAGACTAAAATCCTCACTTATCAACGCCCAAATGAGGGGCCCCAAGGGGTGGTAGACTCCTTCCTCATAATGGGGATGTAAATTCCTTTTGTGGTACCACAAAAAAGGTTTTTAAAAATAAAGTACTACTTTTATGTTAGCGGTGTGCCGGTGATTTACGATTCTTTCCCTAAAAGGAAACACCTTTTTACTTGGAGAACAAGGTTTTCCTCTCCTATAAATTTAATTTTGTCATCCTGGTTGTTAGGGATGTTCATAAAAACCCGAAAAATCGAACCAAACCGAAAACCAAATCAAACCGACCAAAACAAACTGATACTTTTTTATTTGGTTTGGTTTTGGTTTTGAATTTTAAAAACCGATCAAATTTGGTTTAGATTTGGTTTTAATCAGAAAAAAACCAAAAAAAATTGAACCAAATCGACTATAGGAGTAGCTATTTCAAATTTATTATTACACCTATATATATGTATATTTTTATACAAAGTTTCAAAATTTTTATGGTAAATGTTAATAGTTTGCACTTTTAGTATAGTTCTTTACCTTTACATTCTAGTTTGATTGGTAGTTTTCTTTTGTGAAGTGTAAGAATCCATTTCGTGTTAAAAATAATATATTTTTAGTTGAGTCCTTAAATTATTCATCACTATTTGATTCAATTATCATCAATATATCTTGGTAAATAATAGATTTCTCAAAGGGCAATTGATTTGATAGTGTTACGTTGAAAATGTGGTCGCCAAAATATGTGTTTGGTAGTGTATATCTTATATTTAAGAAAAAACAGACAAAGAACCAAAAAAAACCGAAAAACCGACAAAACCCGACATAAACCGAATCGAGAAAAAACCGACTTAATTGGTTTGGTTTGGTTCTAATATTTGAAAAACCGACTTACTTGGTTTGGTTTCTTTTTAGGGAAAAACCGATCCAAACCGAATCATGAACACCCCTACTGGTTGTATCAGAATTCTTGGCAATAAGAATCTCTACTATTTCTCTTTTATATTTCTTGTTCTCCTAATATTATATTTTACGGAGTAATAGAATTTTACTCCTATAACTCTAGGGTTTTGCTTCTACAGAACTGAAAACCCTAGGTAGGGTTTTAAATAGGGCAAATATTAACGTATCCATTCCACAACAAAAGACCCAAAAGAAAGCAGGCGTTCACTTCAAACACCAAAACAGACGAATGGCAGATGTACCAAACGAAATCACAATCATTATTCTCTCAAATTTACTAGTGAAATCCCTCTTACGATTCAAGTGTGTTTCTAAGTCATGGTGTTCTTGGATTTCATGTCCAAAATTCCAGCTCTCTAATCAACGACGACAAGGAGCAATCGTCACCATGTTTGAACGTTCAACAACTATACATGGGACATAAAACCTTCTTTCCGAATCATAAACCAACAACTCACTTTGGAACAACTCAGTTATCCTTCACGAAATGAAATAAGATTTATATACGATATAGTAAGCTTTTGGGTTCTTGTCATGGTCTTATACTTCTTCATATAAGGAGCATATTTGCATTTGGAATCCTGCTACTCGATTTTATACCAAGGTGCTTCAGCTTGACGACTTGAATGATGTTGGCTCCTACCATGCACGTGGGGGACTTTGTTTCGACTCCTCGAAGAATGTTACAAGGCTGTGATTATTATGGACTATGAGAGCCCAGATTATGGAGGCCAGTATGTTACGCAAAAGCCGAAGGGGAGTAAAGTTGATGTCATGTGACCAGGAGGTCATGATTCGAGCCGTGGAAATAGCCTCTTCCAGAAATGCAGGGCACTGCTAGAAATCCGGAAAAAAGCGACCACGAAAAGCGACCAAAGTTGGTCGCTTATTGGCCAAAAAGCGATTAAACACGCCTGGTCGATATTAAGCTGGTCCCTTTACCTTAGGGACCAAAGTTGGTCGCTAATTAGCGACCAACTTTGGTCTCACAGGTAGAAGGACCAAATTTTCCGGGCAAAGCATATAGCGACCAACTTTGGTCGCTCAAATATTTTAATATTATAAATTTGGCGACCAACTTTGGTCGCAAGATGTAAATAACGTTTTATTTTTATTTATTGTTAATCATATCAAACGACCAACTTTGGTCGCTATATTAATAATTTTTATAATTTTTTATTTAATTTGCGACCAAAATTGGTCGCAAATGGCAAGAATTAATTTTTTTTTTTTAACTATAAGCGACCAACGTTGGTCGCAAAATTACCAAAAAATTGTTTTTTTTAAGTGAAAAGCGACCAACTAGAGACCAAAGTTGGTCGCTTTTTTTGGTATATTTTTGGCAAAAACTGCCTGTTTTGGCTGCTACACCACCTGCCAGCTTATACCAAATATCCTAAACAGGCATTTTATGCCAACAACAACAACAACAACAACAACACTAAAAAGCAACAAAATATAAAGATCAATAGAACTAAAACAGTAAGCTAACAAAACTAAGTTAACGTTTATTACAAGCTCATTCGAAAACTAGTTCTATTGTCTAGTTCAAAGTATATAAAGTACTCAAGGAGTGTTCTTTTAGCATCCTCGTTCGAAAGTCGGATTGCCTCGGCCGACTCGTTAGGTGGCTGACTGCGTATGAATTCCCCCACATCAGCTGTGTAGCGAACCTATAAGAAAAATTATATTGAATTAATATTTAAAATTTATATAAAAGTAAATCAAAATACTTAATGAAAAGTAAAAAACTTACATATATAGTCGAGGCTCGACCCTCGACCCACCTTTCTGAATCAGTCTCTTTCTTCTTCTTTACAATACGAGTTTCATTGAATAGCTCATCTTGCTTCATTGGCATCATTAAGCTGTTTGGTGGCTTTGGTGATTATCCTCGTGGTACTATTACTCGGGATGAACTTGGATACAAAGAATAACTTAGATACAGTAGTTGATAGGGTGTGTCTTTTGATCAATTGTTGTTCTCGTTAGCGATAATGATGTTGAGACTGCAACGGCATGTGTTTCAACTAGTGATGGTATAGGCAGGAATTTTAACATTTCCTAAGTAGATAAAAGAAAGATTATAGAGGAATTCTCTACTTCATTTTCCAAGAAGAAAAGAAGTTTAATTGAGAGTGACAAGGGTAATGGTGATGGAATGTTTTCCGTTGGTCATGGCAGTTCCCATAAAACGGGGATCATAAGACTCTATGATGACAAAGATCATAGGAAGTTTTGTTCTCAACTTTCTTACAAGTCTGATCCGTACAAGCTTAATGGGATATTGGTGATATATTCTTCTGTATCCGAAGAATATATCACCAATATCCTACTAAGCTTGTACGGATCAGACTTGGAAGAAAGTCAAGAACAAAACTTCCTATGATCTCTGTCATCATAGAGTCTTATGATCCCCGTTTTATGGGAACGGCCATGACCAACGGAAAATATTCCATCACCATCAGCCTTGTCACTCCCAATTAAACTCATTTTCCTCTTGGAAATTGAAGTATAGAATTCCTCTATTACCTCTTCATTTATCTACTTAGGAGATGTTAAACTCCTACCTACACCATAACTATTTGAAACACATGTTCTTGCCTTCTCATCATCGTTGTCGCTAATGAGAAGAACAATTAAAGGCACACTCTGCTAGGTACTGTGTCTTAGTTATTCTTGGTGGAAGTCCCATTGCATGTCTAATATTACCATCAACCTCCTTTACAAAATCCTCCCGCAATCTAAAATTCCAATACATAAACCAAAATTTTAATTCATATCCTAAAGGTTCAACTCATATCCAAAAAAATTCAATTCATATCCTAAAATTCCAATTCATATCCTA